TGGAGTCTTCTAGCTAGAAGCTTTGCCACAATCTTATATACACTACCAATGAGGCTAATTGGCCTGTAATCTCTGAGCTCAATGGCTCCTTTTTTCTTGGGTACCAACGCTATAAAAGAAGCATTGCAAGATCTGACAAGGTGGCAATTTTGATGAAAATGGGATAGGGCCCCCATAACATCATCCCTGATAACATCCCAGGCTTTCTGAAAAAAGGCCATTCTATAGCCATCAGGTCCGGGGGCTTTGTCGGGAGCACATGACTGGATGGTGGACAACACCTCCTCCTCTTCAAAAGAGCCTTCTAACCAAATCCTTTCCTCTTCAGTGATGCAGGACAGCCCATCAAAAGCAGCAGTTGGTCTCCAACTTTCCTGTTCAGTGTAGAGATTCTGATAGAAGTATAAGATTTCCCCTTTGATCAGTTCTTTGTCTTCTATAATCTCATCCCCAACTTTTAGCTTGTCAATACAGTTGTTCCTTCTATGAGAGTTAGCAATTCTCTGGAAATATTTTGTGTTTCTGTCCCCCTCTTTGAGCCAAAGACATCTAGATTTTTGTCTCCATGATATCTCCTCTTCTTTGGCAATATTCTGTATCTCCAATTTTAAGTTGAACATCTGTAACCTTTCTTCTTGTGATAGGGGCCTATTCTCAATGGCCTGTTCTAGAATGAGCAACTCCTCTAAAGCTTGTTTTCCTCTCCTCCACTATACCAAACTCTTCCTTATTCCAGATTGTGATGTCCTTCTTTAGGCTTTTTAGTTTCTGCGTCAGGATGAAGTCTGGGCTTCCATTGAACAAGTACCCCTGCCACCACTCCTTGACTTTGTCTAAAAACCTTTTGATTTCAACCACATGTTCTCAAACTTGAAGTAGGAAGAGGTAGCTTCCAAATCTCCACTTTCCAGAAGAATTGGTCTGTGATCAGAAATGACTCTCGGGAGTGCAAGTTGCTTTATTGCATTAAAACATTCATTCCACTCCGGGGAGATCAGGAATCTATCAATTCGTGAGGCCTGAATATCATCCTCTCCTCTGAACCAGGTGAATGAGGCCCCCTGCAATGGAAGGTCTATAACGTCTAAATCTTGGATGGTCTCTGAAAAGACCTTCATCGCTCTGGACCTTCTTGTGCAATTGAGTCTTTCACTTTCATATCTGCATGTGTTGAAATCACCTCCTATAACCCACTGTTCACTCCATAACCCCCTGATTGCTGCTAGTTCATGCCATATTTCCCTTCTCTCTGGATTAGTATGGAGACCATAAACTCCCGTGAAACACCATCTGAATTCTTCCTGCAAACCTTCCAACATACATGAGAGAGAGTAAGACCCACATTGAGAATCAACACACTTCCATTGTCTTTTATCCCATAATACTATGATGCCCCCTCTAGTACCAGATGCTTTTAGCTCTACCCAGGCTGCCCAGCGGTTGCCCCAAATATGGTGAATAAGTGCTGCATTCCATTCTTGTAATTTGGTCTCTTGCAGGCATAGAATGTCAACTTTCCATTTACGAACTAGTGATTTAATAATGTCCCTTTTATTGAAATCGTTCAGCCCGTTCACATTCCAAGACAGGATTTTTAACTTCATTCAGAAAAAGATTTGTGAAACCTACCCCTATCTCGGAAAATCTTCCCATCATAATTGATACCGCAAATCAATTTATCCAATTCAGCCCTATGCTTGTCTTTACTTTTCTTTTTCTTCTTGCATGTTGCCTTCTGTTGTTGAAGCTGAATTTGCCTCCTTTCTTCCATTCTAAGAATCATGTCCAGCAGCTCATGCTCAAACCCAGCCACATTAATCCCAAAAGCTTTGCAAGCCTTCACCATTACTAGCTTGGACCATTTCGATGTCTCTATCACACTTGGCCTTTGAACCATTTGAGAACTAGCTCCTTCGTCGTACCATGGAAGAGAGAGATGAGAGTGGGATGAAAAATCAGTGTCAGAACTGCTTACCAGACTCAGGTCCGGCGTCGGAGTAGAGAATGGAAGATAGGCTCTGAGACTCAGTAAAGGTTCTGCTTCATCATCTGCTTCAGAACCACTGAAATACGTGGATTCAATTGAAAGAGCTGGGTCTGACTCTTGAACCTTGTTGGGGAGAATATTTAGCGCCTCACTTTTCTCAGGCTGAATATTATGAACTTGCATACTTGAGGCCTTAATAAAATTCTTTTGTGGAGCTAAAATAGGCCCAACAGCCCTCCATTCTGACTTTCGTACTCCCTTGCCCTTATTTCTCCAGTTTTGGGCCTTCTTTCTTGGGCCTTTTGACTGATAATAATTTCTTTCCAATACGTGGGCCGGGTCCGATTTTTCCTTTACTTCCGGTGGGGCTGCTTAGTCACAGATCTTCCACTTGTGCCAATTTTTGAATTAAAGTTACCCACGTGGTTGGGCACGTGTTTGCTGGAGGATGGGACCTCTGACAGATTTGCTTCAATCGAGGAATTTGACTTCACAATTGCTGCGTTGATCTTCACGCCGGGAGAAATTAGATTTCTGACCGGCTTGGGTTTCACATGTACATCATCAATTATTGAGATTTCACAGCACCAGTCACCAATTTCAAGCTCTATTGTCGCCGGCGAAGTCCTATCAGAAGCCTTGATGCATATCCTAGCCCATTGAAGGTGGGATCTGTTCCTAGTATCTTCGTCAATGTCGATATATCCCCCACATAAATCCCCAATAATTCGAAAGGTGTTTATAGCCCATGCATGAATCGGAATACCAAAAGCCTTGACCCAACATTGTTCTGAACCCTTGTTCGTCGACTCTGAACCGCCTGTTGGAGACCACCATTCTAGTGACAGCTTTCTCCCGTTCCACAACCACTCGCCTGCTAAGATTCTGGAAGCTTCATGCCTCGATGGAAAGTCAAAGAGAAACAAGTTGTGTTTCAAAGCTGATATTTTAATACCAGCACTGATCTGCCATCTATTGGTGAACCATTTTTGTATAGTTTCAATGTTGGGACTGAAATTGAAGGGGTCATTAAATCTTCCTATCAAGCATTTTGAAAGATAACAATCCTTGTTCATCTCAATGCCAATCTCAGCATTGTTTGGTCCCACTTTAGTTGCTTTTGGTGCCTTGTCCTGCCATTGTGGAATCTTTGCAACATCCATAAAGGATTTGGTGTCTTGGACATAGAGATTGAATTTTGAGATGTTACCATTGCCTAAGAATCGGAAGATTTTGTCTGCTATATCTTCCCATCCCCAGTTGAAGCCTCCTTCTGGAATAATGACCGCAGATTTCCTGTCACCCAACCATGCTTCAATCCTTACATATCGGCCGTAGCTATTAAAGTTCTGGAATACTCTATAGGTGTAAGCTTGTACTTTCCTCCCCCATCTCTTGCATCGATTTCCTTTCGCCTGTGAGGCCTGTTTTAGAGCGTCACATACCCATCGCAAATTTTCTTCATCTATTTTGATGTAGCTTGAGAAACTCCTGCTGCGTTCTATTAAAGAGAACCATTTATTACCCGCATCACTGATCTCTAATAACTCAAAGGACTTAATACCGGAAATAAAAAAGGTTCTGTTCGCCATCATTAAAGAGGTAATAAAACATCATCAATTTTATGAAGCTTTAAGATGAACCCATTCCCATCCTTTTCTGAAAGTACTTGAGTCAATTAGGAGAATCATCCCAATTAGAGTTAAACCCACAACCGAAAAGAGAAAATCCAAAATTAATGGGGTTAAGCACGTGTTGGTAGCTAAATGCCCCTGAAATAGTTCTAGCATGTCATGGGAGAAAAGTAAATCTTGACCTAAGTGCCATTAGTTCAACCGAGTAAACGAGATTTGCCAAGAACAAATCCTTCAAATTAACAATAAAAAAAGGTAAAAGCTTTGAGATAATCATTGTATTTCATGGAGCAAGCTGTAAACCCTATGATTTATGCAGTTTTAGCATCCGAAATCCCGTAAAACTATATCAAATTTATACTGCATAATAGAACACAAGGTTGAGTACCTACCTACCATAAATATATAATACAAGGCTAAATGATCCCCATATGCATCAGCCATCTGTACTGTTAGAGAAAAATCGTAAACTAACTGGCAAGAAAAAATGTATCCACTTTTCCTTTTAAGTGGCATTCGAAAGCCAATCACCATAGTAAAAATTAATTGAGTACTTAACTGACTCCGGTGATGTTTCAAATAACAAGAAAAGAAGGTTATATGATCTCAATTTCCATCAGAGCAGAAGACATTTTAACTTGCTAGAACTACTATTGAATATTGAATAAAGATTAAAAGAGATTTTTGAGTTCTTACCTTGCTTATTAAGGCACAAGGCTGAACATGTAGCTGTTACAGCATTTTGAAGTTGGTGAGCTCCAAGCATGCGTAATTTCACACCTAGAAGTTCAATCGACTGCACTATTTATGAAAAACAATCAATAGCTTGTATATTGTTAGACATTGGACAAGTTTCAAAAAGTCCAATTTGTCATGTATGAAGCACAAATGAAAATCAGTATATACCAGATCAAAGTCCTTCACAATCTGGAGCACTATATCACACAATTGGCGAGGTATACCACTCACGTCACAGAAGCCTCTCAAAGCGCTTCTGTTTCCAGGATCAGATGCTGATACCACTGGTGAAGACATAGAAAATGCTTTCCCACGAAGAATGCGCTCAATATATGGAATGAATGGACCTCCTAGAACAAGCTGAAATATTGAATGATTTGAAACAAGTCAAGCATAGTTGATCCAAATAGCAAATAAGATAACTAATGATGTTTTTTCTTTTCCGAGTTTGAGGACAACAAACTGGCCAATCTTTTTCCTTTTGAACGCAACATACTACAGACACAACATTAGAGGTTAGAACTAGCAGATTAGTATCCTATCGCATATAAAAAATACAACCATTTAGGGCATGAGCTGATTGCCCAGTGTCTGAAAGCACACATGTTCAAATAACCAAACAAAAATCATTAGATCAAACACAATTTCCAAAACAAATTTATGTTAATCTTGAAATATATGCAATGGATAGGTAGAGGGAAGAACCACCTAACTGGGCGCCCATGTTTAACTATTCCTGATTTTGCCACCGCTATACTTTCCAAAGAGCCTCCAAGTGCTTCCAGATGTTCCTCACCAACAGTAGTTATGATTGATAAAGCAAGATCAGAAGCTGAAATAACATTAGTGGCATCTCGTGCTCCGCCCAATCCAGCCTATATGATAGGGGAAAATCTAAAACGTTAATGTAAACACGAACGGAAAGACAACTTTGATTTTGGAGGAAAAGAAAAGATAAAAGACCAAAAATCTAATATGGTCTAAAGATCTATTTTTCAAACACCAACAATGGGAAAGAACAGAGGAAGTGGAGGGGAAAAAACGAGTATAGCTATCATAGAGAAAAGAGTCAAGTTAACGCATTTAACCTCCACAACTGCAATTTCCGTATTCTCTTCAGCAAATAGGCTGAATGCTATAGCAGTCAAAACCTGACATTTTAAGGGAAAAATGCAACAACTCAGAAAAAGACCATATGAAGAGGCAGACCAAAAATCGCGACTGAAAATTGATTTGGAGAAAGCAAATTCTCGGAATTATAGAAAGAAACTATTAAAATAACTCCATGGAGCAAAGCATAAATGAATTTTCTCAGATCTAACCGCAAAACCACCTTTCAATAATTAAGTAAATATTACTGCTGAAAGAAAGGGCAAAAAACCTCAAAATGACTGAGACATCCATTCTCAAGTTTCACTGCCCTCTCAAGAACCTCCCTCCTCCTCTTGAAATGATGATTCAACGCCTTGGCTGATATTGGCTCGCCCCATCTTCCCAACGTTATGCGTTCCCTAATAGTCTGTATATGCGGACTGCTCATATAAAGCATATTAAATAGTCATACAAACTACATTAATTAAATACAAAGTGCCTGAGCTAAATAATAAGAGCATATTTAACAATACCTAGTATAGCAACCAACAGAATAGCCTTCTGCCCGCAATATACTGGATAGGAATGCAGCAGTTGATCCTTTTCCTTTTGTTCCAGCAATATGAACAGTCTACAATAATTTCAACTAGAAACACTTAGCAACGAGGATTATGACTAAAGAAGCAAACAACACGTGAACTCAATCAACCTAGTTAAAAACCAAGATAAATTTAGTACTACTCGCTGTGCACGGAAAGGTTAAATTTGAAATAAACTTGAATTGAATAACTGAATGAACACTCCTATTTAGCAGTGGTAGAAAAATCAGACCTTGAACCTAGATTGGGGATTACCGAGGAGCCCCACCAAGCGACTCATTCTACCTAGATCGAAACCATATTCGGAATCTGTGCCAGCGCCTATTGGAACCCCTGACTTCTCGAAGTTGTTCAGATTGTTCAAAAATTCCATTAGTTCGCCTAGTTCTGGCTCCTCTCGCAAAGTGGAAAAGCCATGACGGGTATTCTGGACAAGTCCAGCAGCTGAGGAGAACATACTTCTCTGAAATGAACGACGGAGAATGCTAACATTTTTCATTTTCTTATTCTCACACTACACTGAAGAAACCATCGGCGGTTCTGCTTTGTAATAGTAATAACTGGTATTCCTCCACAAAATTAGAATTGGACTTCCTAATTACTCCGATTAATGTTACTTACTCGACGAGAGAGGAATTGTCAACAAGACCTCCTCAACATTTAATTGGTCAAGTGAGCTCTCATTTTCTTTTTTAATTTCTTTTGGGTTGGAAAATAGTTAAATGAGTGGGTTAGGATGGTTGGAGCATTTTTAACATTTTAAAAACTTGTGGGTCACATATAAAGTTTGAAAAGCATTACCTCTCTTATTTTTCCGCCCAATTTCTCTCTCATCTCTCTACTCTCTTTGCTCTGTCTGCTATGTGTCACTCAACCCCATCGACCAAGGTAGTTTCCGGCGGGAAGGGACAAGAATCAAGCTTCGATTTTGGGTGTAATCGTCTCTATAGACCCATCAAACGCCCTATTAAAGCTCAGAACGCGTCAATTTTGGTAAATCCTAAATTCTTCTTTTTCTGTTTCTTACATTTTTTATTTCGGGTTTTGTAGAGTGATTCGTTCATGTGCATGTTCAAGATCGATTAGGTTGAACCATATCTTATATGGCGTGGGTGGTTATATTTACTTTTTGGACTACCTCTGTGCTCTATATTTTAGAATTTCGTCATAACTGTCGACCTAATGTTTATTGATAAACCTGTGGTCGATCGTTTTCTAGTCATAGATGTTTGTTGGAATTGGGGCTTATTTTTCTTATTCTGATCATAAGTTTAAAATTATTAAATGTGACATTGCATATTTGCATGTAGGTAACATAAGGAGGAAATCAGCTGCTAAGAAGCATATTCCTTTGACAAAGCCTTCAAATCCTTCACAGCCTTCAAAGCATTCACAGCCTTCAAACAGGAAAGAAAATGCAAAAAAAGAAGCATCGCCAAGTAAAGAAATTGCTGAGCCTTCAAAAACTGCTACTAAAAAACGAAATATAGATACTTCTAAAGCTTCCCCTAGTAAAGAAAATGCTGAGATTTCTAAGTGTGATAGGAGAAAAAAGAACAAAGAGCCATCAAAGTCTATCAGTAAAAAAAGAACAAGATAAAAGTCTAGATTAGTGACGAGGACATACATGTTAGTAAAAAATATGTTTCAAGGAGGTTAGCATTAGGGGGTGTTGATGAGGAGGAGGAAGAAGAATTGGACATAAGTGCAGCACAAACTCAAATGGAAGAACAGGTTTCTGATGATGATGATGATGCAGAAGATGATGAAGATGATGAACAACTTCAAGATGAAAGATGGACTGGAAAGTGAAACACATGCAGCAGTTGAAGATGACCAAGATGCTCTGTCAATTCTTGTGATTGTAAGGGCGATCGACGCATCCAAATACAAATTCAGGATTTTTCTAAGAAAGCATAAACGTTTCACGGGCAAGATAAGTGTGAGGTCTAGGATCAATGTATTCCACAAGTTCAAGGATAAAATTAGAACAATCAAATTGATGGAAAATTTTAATAGTAGTTGTTTTGGTCAGCTTGAAAAACTTTCAGAGCACTAGACACAGTTCAATGGACAACTTGTCCATTCCTGCTGATTCGCCGAATTTATCGCGCAAAGAAGCGCGAGTTGTGGTTTTTAGTTGGAGACAAGCATCTTCACTTTGGATTGAAAGAATTTGCTATGATGACTGGATTGAACTGTGGTTCCAAACCCAGTAAATAAGCTATGAAGAAAGTGATGGATGATGGCCAAGCATTCTGTGACAAAATTTGCCGGTCTAGCAGGAAAGGGGTGGATGCAGAGCTTCTTTTGAAACAGTTGAAGTACAAGAGGTTTGACACAGTCAAGATTTTTAAGATTTCATTGGTGTGGTTTGTCCATTCAGTCTTGCTTGCAAGGGATAACATAGCGCGCGTCGATAAGAAGTGGATTCATATGGCTAACAATCTGCGACAAAGTTTGTTGATCTAGCAAGAAACGGGTAGATGCAGAGCTGCTTTTGAAACAGTTGAAGTCCAAGAGGTTTGACACAGTCGAGATGTTTAAGATTTCATTGGTGTTGTTTGTCCATTCAGTCTTGCTTGCAAGAGATAACATAGCGCGCGTCGATAAGAAGTGGATTCGTATGGCTAACAATCTTGAATTTTTCATGAAATATGCATGGAGCAAAGAGTGTTTTGAGCTTACGATTGAGTACTTGAAAAAGGACATATTTCCAATGTACAAATCATATGTAAGCAAGAGGAAGGAAAATAATATCACTGGTAAAAAGTCCAAATCGGCTAGTTATGCCCTGTACGGCTTCCCATGGGCATTCATGGTAAGTATTAAAAAAACCTTCTCAAAATTTCTTTGTAGTCGAGTACTATTGTTTTATTTACTACAGACAGAAATTAATACTTTCTGGTTCATGAAAAAATGTAGGCATGGGTGTACCAAGCAATTCCGCTATTTGGTCGTAGTACCGAGAAATCAAATGTTCTAGCGATGCCGCTGCCAAGGATGTTGAGATGGCACAACAACAGAAGTGACATCTGACCTTGATTAGGATCTCTTTAAGCAGAGAGTTGATGATCCTGGTGTAGTAAGATAGGGAGTGCAATAACACTCCACCAGTATATTAGAATCAACCAAAGTAGGAGATTATTATAGACCTCATGTCTATTGTTTTGTATTAGTTGTCTAATGATTTCTATCTATGCTATATTTCAGGAGGTGCACCCTTACCTTATTCCTATCGTACGTGAGATGGATATGAACTACATGAAGAATTTGGTACCAAATGACGATGAGGTAGCGGATCCTATAATCGACCAGCTAGCGATTGATTTGGAATAGGTGACTGCCATTAAAAAGGCACCTGGTGTAGTGAGCTTGGAGACTAATGATGAAGCTGACATTACTGATGATGACCCTTTGGGTGGGAGTATTCCTAGTTCACCACTAGTTGGTGGTTTTCTGATATTGATAGAGGAGGACCATGTAGGATGTGCAATGCTCAGCCAAGTGATACAGATATGCGCAAAGCGTTGAAGGTTGTGACTGAGAAATTGGATAAGGTGTTGAAGATCCTTGGGGAGATGCAAAATCAGAATGAGAGCCCTTCTAAAGTAGTTGAGTCACCTTGGTATAAAGTTACAAGATTGCAAAGCAGATTGAGGACTGCTCCAATTTCCGTAAGCAAGATGAGGAAGCTAAAACATATCAAGAAGAAGAAACCAAAGGTAGACGTACTCAAACCAGTTCGGAGAAAGATAAGAAACTATTCTATGAATGGTTTGACAAGAAGGAGAAGTTTCCCAAAAACTTCTTGATTGGCAGCTATGGTTGGATGTTTTTCGAGCACTTGTGCGGTGCTAACCGGTCTGTTTTAATTTTTATAAGTCCCTTAATCACTGCGTGTATTTCTTTTTTTTAGTAGCTCCATATTTAACGTACATTTTTTTATAATATTTAGCATGAGGAGGAACTTTTGGCACTGATGTGTGTACAAAACATAAAACGTCCACGCCTTTATGCCTGTAGTCATGCTGTTATGGATGTTGCATTATACAACAACATGTGCACTGCATGGGATAAGATCAAGGAGGCTGTCAGTAAAGAGGGAAAGGATTTGGACTTTTGTGAGACAGTTGATACTTGTCAAGACTTGTGCCTTACACCCCTAATGCTATATCCTCAAGGAAGTATGCCAAAATCTGGGGTTGTGGAGTGGTGTAAGGCTAAGATGTTATACTGTGTGTGGCAAATTAACAACAGGTATTTTGTGCCTGTTGTTTTCCACTTGGTAGAGGGTTTGATTCAAATTTACGATAGCAATGTCAGTTTGTATGATTATGGTAAATTAGAAGAACTGGTACAACCCCTCGTACTCATGATGCGTAGGATTTTGATGAAAACTGGCCAGTTTGCAGACTTAGGCCAAGATATTCTTACAAAGAAATGGTCCTGGGAGCGTATTACGGATGTGCCAACCATTAAGCAAAGGCATATTAAATGTGTCATCCATTATGTTTTACTCATTCTTCTAGTTTTTTTTAATAATTAATTGTGTCGTTGATTATTGTAGTAAAAACAATGGAGCATATGTAGTGAAGGTTATTGACTTACTGCTAACTAATACGTCGTCGGATCAGCTTAATGACAAGCGAATAGAGTTGTTCAGGGAAATTGCAATTTCCCTGAACAAAAATTACAGCATCAATAGTTAATAAGCAAGGTAGTTTATTACATAGAGGGATGCAAATATCGTAATTTACTACAAGTTCACCCAAAATGAATTTGTCCCATGACCAACACAACTTGAAATTCCAGTTATCAAATTATTATTTTTGTTTTCTTAGCACTTCCTTATGTATTACAATAGGCACCTACTTGGTTGCGTAATAGATAATGTGTCTAGTAATAAACTAGCTACTTGGTTGCGTAGTAGACAATGTGTCAAGTACTAATAACTTGATCAAATATAACATTGCATCAGGCATAACCTAGAGGTTGCGTAATAAACCTGGGTCCCTCAATAAACTAGCTACTTGGTTATGTAATAGACTCAAGATCGCATTTAATAACTTCAACAAATTTAACATTACATCAGTACAACATTACATGATCCAAAATACTTCCAACAAAACAAACTTACAGTAATTAAACTATTCCTACCAACAACAGACCAATATTCTCATCCAAGCTGCCACAAATCCGACAACGACGCATAAGAGCATTACCCACTTATTGAGCTTCATTTCATTCATCTTAACCATCCCTCCAACTGTACAATTTACACGAATATGCCCTCCCTCCAGTTCAATCCCTCAATCATTATCATCTTCCTCATGAACATCCATTGCTAATATATTTTCAAGTTCAACCACCTTCATCTGCAGAACGATCTTTTCATGCTTAAGAGCATCATTTTCACACTTCAAACTACTGATAGGTTCAGCAATCCTTGGATCTAGCAGATCATCGCCCCATTCCTAAAATTGACATCTTTTACCCTATCGAATCAAATGGAAAAAATAATTTATTTGTAAAATCAAATCCCTAAAATTAAAAAGAGGCAAATTTGTGGAATTCATCTTACCTTAGTTTTGGCATATTTTGAGAAACGCCGACCAGCATCCACCGAAGGTGTAGCTGTAAATTGACT